TAAATATAAATATGCATTTATTATATTATTATATGTAAACAAGTATATAAACATTTAAAGTAAACAATCTGTATTTGCTTATTATATGTATCTCTATATATTATATATTATCTCTCTGTCTCTCTCTCTCTCCATATATATATATATATATATACACACACACATATATATGTATGTGTATATATATACACACATACATATATATGTGTATATATATGTATACATATATTATTGATTTCAGAGAGGAAGGGAGAGGAAGAGAGAGAGATAGAAACATCAACAATGAGAGAGAATCATTCATTGGCTGCCTCCTGCACACCCCCTACTGGAGATGGAGCCCGCAACCTGGGTATGTGTCCTTGACCGGAATCGAACCCGGGACCCTTCAGTCCACTGGCCAACGCTCTACCCGCTGAACCAAATCAGCCAGAGCAAAGTTAAGTTTTTTATTTCTACATCCAGTCATTTTATATACTGACAATGGCTGCCTTCATGCTACAGTGGCAGAACTAAGTAGCTGCAACAGAGACCACAGGACCCACTGTCTGGTACTCAGACAGAGATGTTTATTGACTCTTGTCCTATGTGATTAATTGATTTTTCTTTCTTCTGTGACAATAGCCCGATAAGTACATAGCTCCATGCTCAACATCATGGCTCTCCCAGGCACTGAGAGCTTCCCAGTAATGACTGCATAGAGACTGTCAATCAGACAGGATCGGTTCCTTTTGAATTACCTGAAAATTACAGAATACCATCCTTCTCTTTCTGAAATCTTTTTTTTGCGGAAGATTAAAGAGAAGGAACTTTTCCTGTCTTGGCTATTTATTCTCTAAAGTCAACAATCTCAGTCCTCCCACTGCCTGGTGATGCCAGCACCTGCGGGTGGCCCTTGGCCTGCGGTGCCCTGGAAACGAGTCTTCTGGGGCGGAAGGAAGGAGAAACATTGGGGTACGTGGACCATGGTTCCATGGCCTGTGCACTGAATAGCAAATAGGACATCATGAGACATTAGGGCAGTGCAAATCAAAACCCCAAAGAGATACTGAAAATGAAAGAGGTGGAAGATCTGGTGAGGATGTGGGGAAGCCAGAGCCTCCTACACTGCTGATGGGAAAGGCAACGGGGGCAGCCCCTCGGGACACAGTGTGTCAGTTCTTCAAAACAGTAAGCACAGAGTATGACTCAGCAACTCTACTCCTGGGTTACATCCAGGAGAGTAACTATGTTCATACAAAAACTTAAATATGAATGTTCCTAACAGCACTATTCATAATGGCCAAGAAGTGGAAAAAACTCAAATGTCTATCCATTGATAAATGGATAAAAATGTGGCATATCTATACAATGGTATAGTATTTAGTAAAATGAAATGCAATTCTGATACGTGCTTGAATATGGGTGAACCTTGAAACTATGATGCTAAGTGAAATCGGCTCGAGAAGAAAAAGCCATCTATTGCATGATTCCATTTATATGAGCTACCCAGAATAGCCAAGTCCAGAGAGACAGAAAGCACAGTCGTGGTTGGCGGGAACTTGAGGGGAGGCGGGGAAAAGGAGAGGAAGGAGAACCGGGGTGACAGCTGATGGGCCCGGGGTTTCTTCGTGGGGTGATGAAAATGTTCTGAAAGCAGATACAGAGTTGTGATGACTGTACAACTTTGTGAAAATACTAAAAACCAATGAAGTGCACACTTTAAAAGAATGAACTTTATGGTATGTGGATTAAATCTCAGTAAAGCTGTTATTAAAAATATAAAACAAATAGACTATTAGCAATAAAAAGCAATAAGCTACGATACATGCATATACATCCTGGGTAAATCCTAAGCTCCTCACACCAAGGGAAAGATGAAGCACATCAGCGGTGGCTGGAAGAGACCACAGGAGGAAGAACTGGTGCACGTGGACATGACGATCTTTCCGGGGCGATAAAAATGGCCGTAAAACTATAAATTCGCTAAAAATTATTGACTTGTACAATTGCAATCGCTGAGTTTTATGGTATGTAGATTATGCCTTAAAAAAAAAGACACCCAAAGGCTGTAAAAACAGGAACTTCATACACTGTGGGTACATACAACCCCTTTGGGGAACTGTCTGGCCACATGTAACCAAATCTGAACATGTATGTGTACGCTGAGTGCAGCCTTTACTCCTGGGTGCATACCCTGCAGAGATGTGTCCATACACTCATTACAAGACATGTTCAAGAATTTTCATAATCACCCATACACCCATGTCTATTGAAAAAGGTAAACAATCCAGGTACAGTCACACAAGGAAATTCAGCGATAAGAAAGAACAAACTACAACTGCATAGGACAGCATAGATGACTCTCAAAACCAGAAGAGCACAAGGAGCAAGACACAAAAAAGGTCACCCTGCATGGCTGTTTCCATGAAACTGACCTGCAGGCAAGGCTAGCTCACAGCCATGGCTGCCCTTGGGCACAGTCTGTGACCAGGAACAAGAGATGCAGGTGGTCCTGGGAAGCTGGTGGTGTGAGCTTCGGGATCTGGGTGCATTCATTCAGTTTGTGAGAACTCATCAAGCGGTCCACGTAGTATATGCGTGTTTTTCTGTGTGTTAACACTGACACTCTGTTTTAAAAAGATGTAGGGCCTTAGCCGGTTTGGCTCAGTGGATAGAGTGCTGGCCTGCAGACCAAAGGGTCCCGGGTTCGATTCTGGTCAAGGGCGCGTACCACAGTTGCAGGCTCCTCCCTGGCCTGGGCCCTGGTTAGGGTTCCTGCAGGAGGCAACCAATCAATGTGTTTCTCTCACCTGGATATTTCTTTCTCTTTCCCTCTCCCACTCTCTCTAAAAATCAATGGAAAAATATCCTTGGGTGAGGATTAAAAAAGAAGACATAGGCCTGCACCTACATCTCTCTCTCTCTGCTTCTCGCAAGATCACTAACATCTTCACATTCACACACCTTAGGAGTCAGCAATGGGCACTGTGGTAACTGCCACAAGCCTGCAGAATGCAGAGCTGGCCCTGACATGGCAGGACGGGTCCTGGGCTCCGCGCGAACTCAGCGGAGGCTCTTGCCCGCTTCGACAATTTGGTGCCAGGGGAAACCACTGTCTCCACTTCCTGGGTATGAAGGGCCTCGCATTCCTCTTTGCACGGCTGACCAACATCGCATCCTCAGCCCGTTTTTAAGGAAAGCACTTTGCAGCTGCCACATCCTCAGCAACTTTGAGCTCCCAGATCCGGCGCTCCCTGGTGATATAAATTCCTCACCCCCCACGCGTCCTGCACATTCACGTCTCACAAGACAGTCAGCCCCCACGAGCTATTTCCCAAGCCAGTTCCCGCGGGAGAAAGCGCTGGAGTTCAGTGGTTTTCTTTTATTTTTAGCTCGGTGAAAAAAAATGAGGCCGCATGCGGTTTTCGATGGCGGCCCAACCGAAGGTATTTTAAGGTCTGTGTGCTTCTTAGCCCTCCATTGTTCCAGGCTGACAAATGATGCCCTTGACAAGGTGTCCGCCCCGTATTACTGGAATCTCCAGCGGTTCTTCACAGAACCTGGCCAGACTAGCGCCTCCTCCCTGTCCCCAAACAAAAGCAGACTGGAGGGAGAGGGTCACACTCTTAAACAACCTCGCCTCTTCTGTTAGCTCCTTTTCAGCTACGAGCCTGGAAAATGGGCTTATTCTGACCATCAGAGGGCAGGTCAATGTGGTTATTTGCAGACAGAATCTCAGTCCCCCTGTTCCCACAAAGGCCATGTGCCAGTAGCCAGGCCCCTTTCATTGGGGGTGGGGGCGCTCTTGCCAAACTTCTCCATGTAACTCCCCCCACTGAACGCCAGTGCTGATAGACGATACAAGCTCACCCTGCATCACCCAAGTTCACAGTTTTGAAGAAGGAGAGCATGGCTTGAGAGAGATCATAAAAACGCCTGTTAGTCCTTCCTCCCTTCCAGGCACCCGGGCTTCGAGCAGCCTTATTCCGCTAAGCATTTCCCAAGCTCTGAGCCACAATTATGACAAATCACAGAGCTGGGACGGCGGGCTGCCAGGGTAGAGTCGGCTTTCTAGTTTCCTGGGAGAGAAACTCATGCTCATTTCACATTAAGAAAGTAGAAATGGAAAAGATTCGATGGCTAGAAATTATCAACTTAGATTTATCAGACACGGACATTAAACTGTTACGTGATAGTTCCAAAGGCCAGGTGGTGCCTAGAGGGGCAGAGCTACCTGGAGTCCTTGTCTGGGCTGCATGTTGTTAAGGACGCTGCAGACAGGGGTCCTGGGAGCAAGTCCAGGCCCTGAGACAAACTCCTGACCCCAACAGGAAAACAGTTAAAGAGTAAGACACCCCGAAGCTTTCTTTAGACATGAACTAACTAGTGCTGATGTCGCAAGGTACAGAATCCGAGAGAATGACTGATATATTCCTCGTCAACAGGGCAGGTTTGAACTTATCTAGTTAACTAGTTATTCCTACACCTGTTTCTCCTTAGCAACCACCAGCGTCCCTTCAGCAGAAGGGCATACGCTTAACACCAAGTCCCAGTTCTTGGCTGGTTTTGAACTCCTTTTCATTTGAAGTAATTTATGATCAGGAATCTCCCCAGGGCAAGGGCACTTATCCGAAGGTACCTTTAGAGGCTTCCGTCCCCAGTGGGTTATCCAGGAAGTCTGTCATGTCATGGTTCCAGGCGTCGCGGACGGCGGACTTGGACACCACCCTGCCGTTCAGACCCTGCTGTGGTCGGAAGTTATTTCTCAGATACTCCACTGACTTCACGTGGTCTTGCTGCTCCGTGGTGAAGATAGAATAGAAAGCCTCGAGCTGCACAGAGAACCAGCGAGGGGAGAAAAAAAGAACATCAGTTAGAAAAGCTCTGAGGTCCCAAGTGGGTGGGGGTGACAAGAACACAAATGACAGGACGTGCCCCAGGCCGAGTCTGACACACGCCGAGGGACACAGGCTTTGGCTCGTCTGGCTGAGGCTTCTGTCCCACCAACTACCCAGGAAAACCCTTCATTGGAGGGTGCAGAGAACTCTCAGTCCATGTCTCAGAGTCCCATGTTTTCCGAAGCTCTGGCCCCGGCCACGGCCTCCAATATTACGGGAACATTGAGTTTTGGTGAAACTGGGAGGCTCTGGAGCCAGACTGCTTGGGGGGAAATTCTAGCCCCATGGCTCCACCATGACGCTGAGAAAGATGCTCAACTTCTCTGAACCTCAAAATTTCTTCAATCAAGTGGTGATAATCACAGCAGCATCCACGCGATAGGGTTCAAGTCAACATTAAATGAGATCATCCATGAGCAGTGCCAGGTTCCTGGCACACAGGCCTCAATAAATATCAATGATCTAATTTGTCCTGAGCTTCTCCTTATATCCGAGGGATCCAGGGCATCCGAGTCGCTAAGTCACAAAGTTGCTAAATGCATGGCTTGCCAGTTACCTGCTCCCCCTCCCTTCCCCCCTCCCCCCGAGGTCAGCAGCCACCAGATGGGCCAGCACAGTCAGATAGTCAAGCTTTCTGCATCTCCAGTTTCCTCATCTGTAAAACAGACATAATACTAGTATCTATCTTACCGGGTGATGGAAAAGATTAAAATCGATGTTCATCACCTAGCCCCCGGAGAGCCTCCGTGTAGATCCGCAGCTATCATTATTAGTAACATTATTAAGGGCCATTTCCCACAAGACTGCTGACCAAACTTCCATGGGAAAGCAAAGAAAAAAAACAGTCCGAACTCCAGGATCCTATTTCTAAGACAAAAAGCACCCCCGCTGGCCCTCAGCATTCCACTCATGGGAGCAGGTCGCAGGAAGGGCAGGGGCTGGGGGGCAGAGGTTAGTTCCCAACGGACCACAGAGCTATTCTTGTCACCAAATAAATGGACCTAACATTGCCAGCCACCGAAAATCTAACCCCTGGATGTGGGGGAAGGAATGGAGTGAAGAAGAGAGAAACCGAACGAACTCTTCCTGGCCCACCTGGTCCCTTGAATGCGGGTCAGAACGCTGTCTGCAGGAGAGTCCAGGTGTGATGGGTAGACGATGCCTCCCTGGCACGCAGAGTGGCTGCCCTCGGCCTCGGGGCCAGGGGGTGGCTGCCACCAATGCATAAACAAACAAGAGAATTACTGCCTCAGTTTCGGATGGTCATCCTGAGGCCTGGAACTAACCCCAGTGTTTCTCAAACGGCTTCGCAGAAGCCGGCCGAGAACAGCCTGCTTCCTTCTGAAACGCCCTCTCTTCGCAGCAGAAAGTAATGAATACATAAGTGAAGTACAGAGTGATTTCAGCCAAGAATCATTCAAGTATACGGGTTCGCCTATCATCCCACCTTCCCTCCAATTCTGCAAATGTGAAGTGATAATAAACCGTGAAACCTCTCTGCTTTTTCATCAAAGTAATAGAACCAGACGGTCTCTCAACCAGCCTCCACGTAAAAGGAGCACATTATTCTCGAGTTACTCCAACTCTCTGCTATTCACACAGCGTCTCCTCTCACAACTCCCAGCATTGCCAGGCAGAATGTGCCTCCCCTCCCCCATCCTTCCTTCAGATGTTCCTCCTGTATTTATAGTGGAGCGAGAGAGGCAATCAAATGTCAGATGGTTTACTCTGTCCAAATGTGACCCACTCGGAAGCAAGATGATGGGAGGTGCTGGAAAGCAAATCCCCAGGCACGGCACACCCACGTGGGGACGACCAAAATCCGGACTGAATGCGCCCAAAAATAAGAGGAGGTTTCAGATTTTCTTAGAGAAAATAGCTTCTTAAAATTACGTGAAGGGAAGTAAAGGCCCTCTGGAAACAGTCTAGGGCAGCCGTGGGCAAACTACAGCCCTCGGGCCAGATCCGGCCGTTTGAAATGAATAAAACTAAAAAAAAAAAAAACCCGTACCCTTTTATGTAATGATGTTTACTTTGAATTTATATTAGTTCACACAAACACTCCATCCATGCTTTTGTTCCGGCCCAAAAACCCGTATGTAATGATGTTTACTTTGAATTTATATTAGTTCACACAAACACTCCATCCATGCTTTTGTTCCGGCCCTCCGGTCCAGTTTAAGAACCCATTGTAGCCCTCGAGTCAAAAAGTTTGCCCACCCCTGGTCTAGGGAAAGACTAACCAAAATGATTTAAGGGACGGAGAGTAAGTCCTGTGTGAAAGGTCAGAGGAAGTGGGATAGTGCAGCCAGCAGAACCGGCGAATAAAGAGGAATTTGATTAAAGGCCCTTGTACGTGGAAGATGCTGACTAGCTCTTCTCAGTGTCCAAAGAAGGCCGAATAAGAGGAAATTGGTTTAAATTACAGCCTTGGAGATGTGAGTTGAATAGAGGAAGGAATTCCTTAACTTTCAGAGTGATTTTTAAAGAAAATAGACTGGGCGGCCATACATAGCACATTAGACCAGAGATTTTCTGGAAAAGACAGCCATCTGCCCTGAAATAGTTTAATCTCCGAGATGCCAGGACAGGATGGCCTGCGAGATGCCTCCGCAATTCGACCTGCGGTTTGTTTCTTCTCTAGAATAGTTGCTTCTTCCACAAGACAGCATTTAGTTCTCCTAAAAAGTTTATTTCTGATGCCTCCGGAAAGAATTAGTCATATAACTATGAAAACAGGCGGGTTCTGAACTTAACACAAAAATGCTTAAATTGCTTCTTACAGCTTAATGGCGTGCTATGGCTTAAAAGCTCGGCCACTTCCTTGTCATTAACTCACCTTGCCCTAAGATTTCGAAGGGAGGATGCGATGGTTCTCACAGAGTGAACCAATGACCTGAACGATATTATATTGTCAACTGGATCACACCTTCGCTCGGCAGTCACACAAAAGAGGAAAAGGAGGACTCTTAGCAGACTCAGCCACGGTCCTTCGCTAGGTTGGCAGCGTTCAGGAAAACCCTGTCATTCCTGTACGTTGAGTGAAATTGCCAGTGGCCTCTCGTTGGTAACTGGCACCCACGCCTGCGTAGGGACTGGAAACCCGCCCTGGTCCCTGGGTTGGCGAGGGGAGCGCATATTTTCCACTTTGGCAGGGAAGCAGCGATCATCTGGGCCAGAAACCTGCTGAAACAGTGTCTCCCCCTGACCAGCAGTTTCGCTTTCTGAGGTTTCAGTTACTTGTGGTCAACTGCAGTCTGAAAATACTAAATAAAAAATCCCAACAGTAAACATTTGTAAGTTTTAACTTGTGTATACTCTGAGTTGTGGGATGAAACCATGTGGTATCCTGCTGTCCTGCCCGGGGCACGAGTCATCCCTTTGTCGGCGTCTCCACGCTGTAGGCGACATCTGCCCGTTAGTCACGTAGTAGCGTCTCAGGTATCAGGTCCCCATCAGGGCACTGCAGTGCTTGTGTTCACGCCGCCCTTCCTTTACTTAATAATGGCCCAAGCACAGGAGGAGCGATGCTGGCAACTCAGACATGCCCAAGAGAAGCCGTAAAGTGCATCCTTTATGTGAAAGGTTTGCATAGATAGAAAAAACCCCCACACAGTGTATGTAGGGTTTGGTGCTATCCGCGGCGTTAGGCACCCACCGGGGTCTTGGACCATACCCCCCGCAGGTAAGGGGCGCCTGCTGTATGTCACTACACAGATGCTTCAGGTTTTCCCTTGGTCCTTGTTACCCTTAGAAACATACTCACTCACTAAAGGTGAAAGTGACCACCACCTGGGCCTCCACTGCAGTTTCTGATTCCCAGGGATGCCATCTGCAGAGACTGTACCGAGAGGGTGCCTACCGGGGTTGTGCAACACAGCAGCCCGCATAAGGCTGGGGCCATCGAGCAATCTATACAAAGCCGTGTTTCAAGTCTTCTAGACCTGGTCAGCAGCCACCCGACGGTCCTTTTAACATGCACGGGAGATCATATTACCCGATCAGTGCTTCTCAACCACCTCCCATTCTCACTGTGGGGCCCTAAGGATCTGGCCGGTGCCTCATCTCCAACCGCAAAACGCCTACCTGCTGCCTGGGTTCGAAACTGTTTGTAACCCCTACTTGCTAATGTGTGACCTTGTCCAAGCATGTAGCGTTTCTGAACTTCAGTTCTCTTACCTGGATAACGGAGACAACATCACTACCTACCTCGTGGTTTTTGGCATAATTCCTGGCTCACAGTAGATACTAAATAACTATTATCATGGCTACGATTACTATTATTACTGCTTTATGGGAATGTGGTCATCATGACTGTACTCTAAGCTCCCGACAACCTAGTGCCATCTGCTTCTCCATCACACCCATATGTGCCATGTACTTGGTTACGCACTTTACAAACGCTATTTTGGTTCCTAACTTATTTTTAGTTTAAATAACATTAAAGTGACATTATTAATAGCATTATGACATCATTAACACTAGCATCTTATACTTACTGAGCGTTTATTATGAGCAAGGCATTGTGCTAAGAGGGTCATGTGCTTTCTCTTCTCTACTCCTCACAGAAATCCCATAAGGTCGGGGGTACTATCGTATCATTATGACTCTCGACTGGTGAGGAAACTGGGCTTAGAGACATTAAATCACCTGCCCAAGGTCACCCAGGAGCCAAGAGGTGACTCTTTTTCATGCTCTCAGCGGCTTCATGCCAAACACATTGCGGGCCCACAGCATTCCTTGTGGGGTCACACTGTGGGGGAAACTGACGTGGTCATCAGAGACCCCCCAACAATTCCCCTTAGCTGATCCCCAAATACCACTTCTGCAAGACACCGACGGACGGCCACATAACTGCCTGCACTGGGGCGCTCTGGGAAGACCAGCCTCCGGCCAGCACAGGAGGCCGGGCGTGTAACCAGGATGGTGGCACC